TCCCTCCCTCCCTCCCTCCCATGGATAAGTAGAAACTTGTGCTGAAATATTCGTGCTGGAGCCTCTCCCTTTCTCCCATGCCAGTTGTGGTTGGAGAGGAAGAGGTTAACCTTGGCAGGCACTTTTGCATCTCAGATTCAGACTCTGGGCTGGGCTTTGGGGAAGGCAGAGTTCCTGCGAGGGCAGAAAGAGAAAGAATCCCATGCTGACTCAAAGAAGGATTCCGGCAGGAAGGCAGATGTGAGCATATCGTGAGATCAGGTAAAGTGCTCAGAAATAAGTTTGAGCTCAGAAGACCTTCGTTGGGGCAAGGAAGGGAGGCGAAGACTTTGCCTCTTTCATTCTGGTGATGAGCGACCAGGGAAGCCAACGGGAAGGACATACACTATCCCCAATAAGGCAAGTCGGGGCACAGGACTGATGCTGATGTCTGTATTTAAGAGAAAGGGAACTGAGCCAGGATTTTGTGATAAATATTTGCTTACCAGAGTGACAAAGACTTGGGTTTGGCTGAGTTTGGCTTGACTTAGCAAAGAGCTTCGATCTTTAAGGGAATGAGAGGAACAAAAGAGCATTACCTTTTGTCAGTCCACTAAATGTGGGGATGTTTGAATTCAGGTCTGCCTTCAGATATAAAGATTCCTAGACAACCCTACACAAAGGGACGTAGTGGCTCAGTGGCTAAGACGCTGAGCTTGTTGATCAGGAAGGTCGGCAGTTTGGCGGTTCAAATCCCGAGTGCCACATAACCGAGTGAGCTCCTGTTATTTGTTCCACCTTCTGCCAAACTAGCAGTTCAAAAGCACGTAAAAATGCAAGTAGAAAAATAGGGCCCACCTTTGGTGGGAAGGTAACAACGTTCCATGCACCTTCAGCATTTAGTCATGCCAGCCATATGACCATGGAAATGTCTTCGCACAGCGCTGGTTCTTTGGCTTTGAAATGGAGATGAGCACTGCCCCCTAGAGTCAGGAACGACTAGCACACATGTGCAAGGGGAACATTTACCTTTACCTTTAGACAATCTACCTCACTGGGCTGTAATAAGTCTTTAAAGGTTTTCTGTGTCGGAACTTCCCAGAAGAAGGTAGGACTAGAAATTCTTGATTCCATAATTTGAGAGGTAGAGAAGGAAGAAACATGTAAGATTCCTACTTTGCGGTGTATTTATTTATTTCACATATCCATCCATTATTTGCTTGATATTGTTTTGTCCTTTCAGTTCTGGGCTCTCTCTGCCTTTTTGAGTCCCCTGATCATCTTCTCTGGAGGTCTCTGGCCATCTTCTCTGTAGGATTTTCTCCTTTCTTTGGTTGTCTCCCAACAATTTGTGTGCCTGGTTTAAACAAAGTCAACTTTCTGTCCATTCCAGTCTGAGCAGACTGGTGTGAGAACAGGGTGATCTCTTAGTCATTTTTTTTTTCATTCGTGCTGTTTTAGAGATTAATTCACTGATATTTTACACCCTTAATTCTAAAAATGAAAGAAGTTCTATCATGAGGTTTTCTTCATCTTGAGGTGTTGTAGTGTAGTTTGATAGAGAATGAGAGGCAAAATGAGAGCAAGAATAAGAGAGAGAGAAAAACAATGATAGAATGATAAAAATAATGAGAGAGAGAGAGAGAGAGAGAGAGAGAATGACAGAATGAAGATAGACAGAATGAGAATGAAGAATGAATGAGAGAATGAAAGACAGAATGAGAGAATAGAGAAGGAAAGAATAAGAGAGAATGAGAGAGAATAACAGATTGAGAGAGAGAGAATGAGGGAGAGAGAATGAGAGAGAGACAGAATGAGAGAGAAACAATAAGAGACAGGATGAAGAGAGAATGAGAGAGAGAATGAGGGAGAGAGAATGAGAGAGAGAGAAAATGAGAGAGAATAAGACAGGATGAAGAGAGAATGAGAGAGAGAATGAAAGAGAGAATAGAGAAAGGAAGAATAAGAGAGAATGAGAGAGAGAATGATGGAATGGGAGAGACAGAATGAGGGAGAAAGAATAAGACAGGATGAAGAGAATGAAAGAGAGAATAGAGAAAGAAAGAATAAGAATGAGAGAGAGAATGAGGGAGAGAGAATGAGAGAGAGAGAATGAGAGAGAAAGAATAAGACAGGATGAAGAGAGAATGAGAGAGAGAATGAAAGAGAGAATAAAGAAAGAAAAAGAGAGAATGAGAGAGAGAATGACGGAACGAGAGAGACAGAATGAGGGAGAAAGAATAAGACAGGATGAAGAGAGAATGAGAGACACAGAGGGAGAAAGAATAAGAGAATGACAGAATAAAAGAGAGAATGAAAGAGACAAGAGAGAATAGAAAGAATAAGAATGAGAGAGAGAGAGAATGAGAGAGAGAAAAAAGAGAGAGAGAGAGAGAAAGAATGAGAGACAGAATGAAGAGAGAATGAGAGACAGAGAGAGAAAGAATAAGAGTGAGAATGAGAGAGAGAATTACAGAATAAAATAAAGAGAATGAGAAAGATATATAGAAAGGGAGATAAAGTTATTGGAGCATCTGATACATCTCCCATAAAATATCACTTCCTGATGTTCAGGTGTGGTATGACTGGGGCCCTTATGGTTTGTTCAATAAACCACACTTAAGCAATATGTAAATCCAGCCTAAACTTCCTTGTATTACATTCAGCTGTGTGAAGCTTGGTCTTGAATTGGCCGAAAGGCTTTGGGGTGGTAGCAATAGTAAGCAACAAAGGTAAAAAGGAAAGAAAATTTCAGGAGTACAGATTGTGCTGCTTAAAATAGCAAAAAATAAGCTAAACGCCTACAATGCAAACTTTTTGGACCACTTAATGAATGAGCACCTACCGTTAGATATAAATTGTAAGATTCATTCAAGTTCTAGGAAATAAATCTGTTTAGAGCAACTTTTAGGCAAGGAAAGAACTTGTTTTTAAAATATATATATAACTTTTTAATTAAAGATTAAAAAAACAATTAAAAACAAACAAAAGAAAAATAAAAGAATGATGTTTCGTGTGTTCTCTCTCTCTCTCTCTCTCTCTCTCTCTCTCTCTCTCTCTCTCTCTCTCTCT